ATTTGGGGTAATTTTATCGCTTCATATTTTTTCCATATTAAAAGGTTTCAAACCAGAATTGAAAAATAATGTAAAATAACAATCAAAAAGCCAAATTGTTTTGTCACATATACAAGAGAAGATACTCAATCAAGGTCTAGATTTAATCATTTATACCCCTTTTACCATTTTGAAGCATAAAAAACTATAATTTCTTGTGATTATGTATTTTAGAAAGTCTTATATTAATATAAGGTTTAATGATAATTTCTATTTTCAAAAGAAATTTTACTAATAAAAATTCTGAAACTTTCTAATCCAATTGTCTATTCTATTGCCACTTCAGGATTTTAAACTAGAATACATGTGCAATATGATGATATAACTGAAAAATATGTTATAAGTAGTTGAATTCTTCCAAATAATTAGTTTGGTGGTCTCTTTTTTTTAATTCACCCTTATTATGTTTTTCTATTTGCCGATAAATTATAGATCACAACTTATTTTAGCAATCAAAGCTTCTTACTTGTCTCTCCAAATATATATGTATATAATTTAACTGAAGATGAAGCTTCTTTTTAAAATATCAATATTGAATTGGGTCTTAAAATAAATTATGAGATAAATTCAATTTTACCGGAAAATGGAAATATTCCCAAAAATCTTCACACATTTTGACCTTCTCATTCCTTATATGTTATAAACTATCTTTAAAAGAAGACTTATGATATATGAAGATTTAACATATGTATTGAAGTGTTATGATACAAAACATTAGAATTTTTGGCAAGAAAGCTTATCCAGACCAAAACCAGTGCTGGGCATATTTTGGCTTGTGGTTGTATCGTGATCTCAAAGTCCAAAACATTTTTTTTGAGGATGAAATCTCTTTATAAGAGCATTTTATTCCCCTGTAATAGAAGGTTCGCGGAAAATAGTCTTTGTTTTGTCCATCTGTGTGTTTAGCTGTATGTTTGTCCTCAAAACTTGAACCTTGCCCAATAGATTTTGAACAGTTTTTACTAGGGTTTTATATTTCATATCTGTATTTCTTGTGACAAGACATTTCTTTGGATACCAACATTTTTTTTTAACCTATCACCTTGACCTTCCGTTTAGACCTATTATTAATAACTTTTACCTTGCCCTTAACTTTAGAACATTTAGGTGCAAGGGCTTTCGATCGTATCCTTGATTAAAAAACTTTTCTTTAGATACGAACATTTTTTACCTCATCATTTTGACCTTCAAGTTCCACATAATTTTTAAAAGCTTTTAACAATTTTAACCTTGACAGCAACTTTTGAAAGGTTGATGCTAGAGCTTTTATGTTTCGCATACTTTGCGACAAGAACTTTCTTTGGGTACCAAGATTTTTTTGCCTCCTGGTCTTGACCTTGAAGTTTGACCTACTTTTGACAAACTTTTAACTTGCTCATAATTTTGGAACAGTTAACGAATTTTTCTTAAATACGTGTGCATTTATCTTTATTGATATATATACTTTCACAGGGTCACTGCAACGTGAAAAAGATAGATTACCTCCATTCTTTTATGTATCATTGTCGCTGTTCATCAGCTCAGTGGTGGGAATCATTCTCATCCTAACTATCTTTGGAATAAATAGGAAAATGGCCAAAGGTATTTTTCAGCTATATACTTTTAAAATCAAATGAATTATGGTATTAAATGCAGTTTTATAACATCACAATTTATATTACTACGAGTCTTTTTGTTTTATTTATAGCTTTAGTGAAAGAGGATGTAAGGTGAGGAAATATTATAAAAAACGATTCGTATTTCATTTTGAAGAATGTTATTCCATGGCTTTGCTCTCTGAAATGTGCAACCTTAGGCATGTAAAATTTATAATATCAAGTTCTTCTCATAAATGATGTTGAGTAATTTATTTACAGACATCATGCATACCTTCAGAAAGTGGTCAAAACAAGTTCCACCGAGATTGGTATGATTTTATCAATTTTACATACACTTTTGAAGAAAGTTGCGATATGGTGATATTGGTTCGTCCGTCAAAATTTCTTCCATTTAACCTCAGAAACAATTTTATTTTGAAGTGCAATAAGGTTCTGTCTAATAAAACATTTCTTTTTGGACCTACGTTCAATGAAGTTCCTTCATTTTTTTTTCATGCAAGAACCTTGTTTCATACATTTATATGCTCATACATATATATTTAAGGTCTTCCGTCTTCACGGAAGACCTTATAGTGATTCTACTGTTTCTTATTATTATTATTATTATTATTCTTTTTTTTGACCAAATTTTGTGCACGCGATTTCTCGAAAAGTATTCAGTCGTTTTCAATGAAACTTTCAGGAAAAGTCAGTCATTGTATGAACTTTGTTCATCACAAGGAAAATTTGGAAAATTCCATTTTGGTTCCAAGTTATGGGCAATTTCCTGATTTTAAAATGAAATTTTGTCGCCCCTTTTTCTCAAGAATGGCTAAAGATATGAACTGGAGATTTATTAGAGAGCATAGAACGTGACTTCTAAATTTGCAGAATTGCCTTTCCGTTCGTCGTCGGCACTTCCGGTCGTCACAGGAAGTGATCAAAGAAATCGTAAAATTTCAACTTTCTTTTTTTAAATCAATATTTACATCACATTATTGCATCTCTTATGTAGTTTCGAAATATGTTGGTCCCACTGGAAACAAAAACGTTAACTTCCCGTTATAAGAGAAAAACTACATAATTTTAGTATTTTTCTTTCCCATTAATATCCTTTGTAGATAAAGTATTTGAAATGAATTTTAAATATGTTATTTAGACTGCAAATATCTAGAGTCACGTCAAATATCTTTGTAAAATTCACTTCCGGTCGCGTGTTTTCCTGTCCTCAAAATGAGAAGTTCTCTGAGCAAGATCTCGGAAACGGTGAGAGATTAAGACACCAAACTTATATGAGCAACAGACTTAAGATGTAGGCAAAAGCATTTGGGTTCAGAGCGTCAGCCGTCACTTCCGGTCGTCACAGGAAGTGATCAAAGAAATCGAAAATTTCAACTTTTCTTTTTTTAATTAAAAATTGCATCACTTTATTGCATCTTTTTCGCAGATTCGAAAGATGTTGGTCTCACCGGAAACAAAAGTGACAACTTCCGGTTATAAGAGAAAAGCTACATAATTTGAGTATTTTACTTTTCCAACAATATTTTTTCTAGAAAAAGTATTTGAAATGAATTTTAAATATGTTATTCAGACTGCAAATGTCTAAAGTAATCGTAAATATCTTTCAAAAATTCACTTCCGGTCGCATGTTTTCCTGTCCTCAAAATGTGAAGTTGTCTGAGCGAGATCTCAAAACCAAGTAAAAGATTAAAACACCAAACTTTTAAGATTTATAGACCTTGAGGAGTAGGCAAAACCATTTGGGTGAAACGCGTCAGTTGTCACTTCCGCTTGTCACAGTAAGTGATCAAAGAAATCTAAAAAAAAATTAACTTTTCTTTTTTTAAATTAATGCTTGCATCACTTTATTGCATCTCTTTCGCTGTTTGGAAATATGTTAGATTCCACCGGAAACAAAAACGTCAACTTCCGGTTTTAGGAGATAAACTACTTTACTTTGATATTTAACTTTCTCATAAATATTGCTCATCGATAAAGTACTTGAAATGACTTTATGTATGTTGTATATACTGCAAATGTCTAGAGAAAAGTCAGAGATTTTTATAAAATTCACTTCCGGTCTCGTGTTTACCTGTCCTCAAAATTAGAATTTGATCTCACAATATTGCTCGGCAACAGTAAACGACTGAAGTCTAAAACTTTCAGGACTGATGGTCAGTCATCAGTTATATGAATCGTGAGAAAATCTTGTATCGCCGTTACTTCCGGTACTTCCGGTCGTGACCGGAAGTGATGTAAAAAATGAATGGTTAACGTTAGCAAGTTGAATTTTCACGCTGACGACCAGGGTTAAATTTCCAGAGTGTCTGAATTTCTTTTATCTCTTTTTCAGCTTGAATTTTCGTTTTTATTTTCAGAATCGGACGGAAGACCTCTCATTGCTCGCAATGAGTTTCTAGTTCTTAAACTATTTGCATTTTCAGGATCTGATGGAGACTAGTAAGTATAATCTCGTTTATTTACACTGTTTCATTACTGTGCTCTACCAACTGAGCTATCTGGTCACCAGCGATTGAATCTGCCTAACCACCATATTCCTCTCTTCTTAAAGAACTTCGCCCTAAGGACACCAACCCAGCACTTCCCTGGCAGGTCTTTAACCTGTCACTTACATGGCATGGCATGGCACCAAATGTAACAGGAGAGGAGAAAAATGTGATGGATCAGACTGGGATTCAAACCCAGGCCCCCTAATTCACTAGTCAGATGCTTTACCAACAGAGCTATCTGGCCATTGACGATCGAACCTGCCTGATTTAGTTCAAATATTCAGTCTTGTTCATAATTTTGCACATTTTGGACTATGTACTTTAATGTCAATAACAATATGGTTCATGTAATATATGAAATAAATCAAGACCAGAACCCCATGAGCCATTTGATAGAGATTTCTTTAATATTTATCATCAAACACTCTGACAACCAAAAATAACATGCTTCTGACAAAATTCAGGAATTGACCAAGATCTTATAAAATCTGATCTAAATCTGATGTAAACAATGTCCTCTCACACATAGTTCTGATCTAATAAATGACTAGAGTTCGAAGTCACCAACGGCATTTTAATCTTACTTTCCTTTCAGTTGAAAGTAAATGCCAAGGCCAAGCAGAATTCCAACTTAAAAATTTTTCATAAAAATGTGTATAAAATATTAAATAAATATCTTTAACATGATAAAATCTTGGTAATTTATTTCTTTTTAATTTTTTATTCCAGTATTCAACCAATATCATCAAGTGAAGAGATTTCCAATGAATATGAAATGGTTGAGGGATACACTGCTACAACAGACAACAAAAAAAGAACCTCAAGATGTCAAATTCTATAAATTAAGATCCTCTTCATTAAATTTCCTTTTCACAAACTATTTGTAAAGCAATATTGATCATGCATATTTGTTTTTGATGTATATTGTCTCTGGTTGCACTGGCCCATCAATCAAGTCTTCCTCCACTCCCTGAAGACACCACTGGTGGTTACACACCTCTAGTGCCTCCCACTCAGCTTTGAAGGCTTTCATTGGATCAGGAGGAGTCATCATTCCTGCCCCCGACATCTGCTCCTGCATGGCTTTTGTCTGATCAGCCGCTGTAAAAATAATCATCAATAAAGAAAGAAATACTACGCTGAAAATGAATTGATCAATATTAGAATCTTCTTAAATAAATTATATTGCAAATTTTCTTGAAGTTAACTTAAAAATATTCTAATTTTATATCAAAGGATAACATATAAATATACAAAAAAATCCTGTTTTTGCCATATATTTCTCTTTTTTTTTTTTTTTGTTTTTTGTTTTTGCAATAAAATAATAAAACTTTATTCCATTGATTTTTTTTGTGTGACAACACAGCAATGTAACTTACAATTATCCTGTCCTAATATAAGAGTATATAAACTTCTCAAACCAAAGACATTGAGGAAATACCAGGATGCTGAACTAACCCTTAAAAAAATTTTAAAGCACATTTCAATAAGTGTGCATTTGGGATCAAAAACTTCAGTTTAGATTTATAGTTACACATACAAAAATTGTGATTTCTAAATTCACTTTACTTCAATAGAATGAAATGCTGCAAATGTTTTAAGTATAAATTTAAGTTTGACTGAAGTCATCTCACCATGAAGCGTCCAGTGATGCCAGCTCCACCCCTCTCTGTAACATGGGTTTAAAGCGTAGAGTAAGGGGAAATGGAACTTTGGCTAGTAAAACACAAACAAAGCTTATGTCAACCACATCATTGCCTGGTTATACCAGTAAATTTTCATTAATTTTAAAGAAAACAATATGGCACATTTTACTTTTTTTTCTTGATTCATTTGCCTATAACTTAAAACATCCATTTCACAGGTATGCATAGTTACAGTTGATAGAAATTACATGTATGTATTGTTCAAAATATACTCTATTAAGTATTTACTTGTTAGGAACCCTGAGAATGCCCAGTTAATCCAGCCTCCAATAATGATCATAGGTAACACATTTGTAACATTTCCCTTCAGCATATCTGTCATCATTGAAGGATCTACAAACAATGAGAAATGTAAGCATGATGTAAGCACTTCATGTACTGTAGACCACTATATTTTCAAGTCAGCTTATTTTTGTGAGATACATGTAGCTATTCAGTATTCGTAACTCGGACAAAATTTTCATTGGTGTGGTTATTGTTGCATATAATCCTTAACAATACATATACATGAGAATGAAATTTCCTCGAGCAGACAGACATGTGTAATTGCTAGGGATGGGGTAACTGAAATGAGTAAATGTAATTTACTGTATTTAAATACATTTTTGCAAAGTAATTGAAAGTACAGTACAAACTGGACACAACCTAACACCAGAGCGAACCCAAAGCGCACCCCAGGTTCGCTTTCTGGGTTCGCTCGGGATCCGCTACGGGTTCGCTTTCAGAAATTTTGGGTGCGCTCTGGGTTCACCTTGGGTGCGCTTCGGGTTCACTGGGGGTCAGCTCTGGGTCCACTAGAGCGAACCCGGCGTTCGCTTTCTGAGTTCGCTTTACGCACTTGTGCATGAAGCGGACCCCGCTTTCATCTTGCCGACAGTAAGCTCTGCCCCTTGTTTATTCCAAATAGAGTAGTGAAATCGATCATTGTTGTTTTTGTGGTGATCGATACATGTGCATGTACAGTGGCTGCAAGGTTACTGTTGACAACATACATGAACGATCACGTTACACGAACAATTCTGCACGATTAACGCACGATTAAACCTGTTACACGAACGATCCTTCACACACATGATCATTCACGATTGTAAACGCAAATGCACGATTTTTTTTTTTTACACAAAATAGTTAAAAATATTTAGGAGTGGATATTTTTAAAAAGAAATAAAGCTTAATTAATAAACATTTTAAATTAAAAATACTTATTGCTGCAATTCATCGACATGGAAAACTGGAAAAAAAATATTTAGAAGATATTTTTGATAATACATGTAAATAAGACTTAATAGTTATTTAATTTAAATTACAAATAATTAGGGCTTTTCGCTTTCAGGCGAAAAGCCCTATTGTTTTCATCTTGTTTATTATTATTATTATTATACTGAACACTTTTTTCGTTCAGCATTTGAGGAGTACCTTTAAAAATAGGGTTTTTTTCTTATAACCTCTAAATAGGAAATGTAAATATCTCACGTATGTAAGGTTTTGAACTTCCGTTTAGTCACTTCCGGTTTCTACTAAAGAAAAACTGAAATACCTAAAGAAGCTAAAATCTCTCTCATTTTGAATGTCTAGACTCTCAAATTCAAGATATAAATTCTAGACACCAATACCTACAAAAAAGTTAGCGACGGTGATTTTCGACCATTCATACTTTCTGAGATATAAGACTTCAAACATTGAAAAAGGGGGGATGAAATTTTTAAAAGTCACAATTAAGGTTTGAAAATTATTTTGAGCATTGAAATAGGTTAGGACTAATAAGTTGAACATATACTGTAAGTTTCATATCGATCCAAGCCGAACTTCCAGTTTTAGGGGTCTTTGAAAATTGTCTATGGGAGTTTCTATGTTAAATTGAAATCAGTTGTGGCGCATTTTCTCTTAAAATAATCAAGATATTCTTGTGAGATTCTAAGTGTAGAATGATCTTGATACGGTTCCGACCTCATTAGGTCATAAAAAGGAAATTTGGGAAAATAAGGGATTTCTAGGGGCCAACATTGAAAATATACTTTTTCCTGTAACTTTTTTATTTCTCAATGAATTTTTAAACAGTTTTCTATTCTGGGTTCCAATCCAAGAGAACAATCTAAAAATTATGGTCCGTGGGGTCACTTTTTGACCCCTTATAGGAGTTACAGAAGACTGAAATAACGTAATTTTTATTTATTTCAAAAATAATGGAGTAAGAGTTATCTCCCTTTGAACATCAGTTAACAGGCTTACATACTCTTTAGGTTTCAAGTTTGGTATGCATATAACAAGTACTTCCGGTTTTATAAATCTCTGAAATTGTCTATGGGAGTTCCCATGTTGAATGGAAAATTGGACATGTCATGATATCTCTTAAAGCAAACAAGATATTCTTGTGAAAATTAAGTGATATAATGACTGTGATATTGTTTCAAATCCATTAGGGTTTAAAAATGATATTCTGGAAAATAAGGGATTTCTAGGGGCCAAAGTTGAAAACTGACCTTTGCCCATAACTTTTTTTATTTCTCAATGAATTTTTGAACAGTTTTCTATTCTGGGTTTAGCTTAAAGAGTACAATCTAAAAATTATGGTCCGTGGGGTCAATTTTTAACCCCTTAAAGGAGTTACAGAGGACTGAAATAACGTTATTTTTATTTATTCAAAAAATAACGGAGTAAGAGTTATCACCCTTTGCACATCTGTTGACAGGCTGATATACTCTTTACATTTCAAGTTTGGTATGCATATGATAAGTACTTCCGGTTTTATGAATCTCTGAAATTGTGTATGGGAGTTCCCATGTTAAATGGAAATATGCACATGTCGCGATATCTCCTAAACTAAATAAGATATTCTTGTGAAAATTTAGTGATATAATGACTTTGTTATTGTTTCAAGCCCGTTAGGGTCTGAAAATGAAATTCGGAAAAATAAGGGATTTCAAGGGGCTAATATTGAAAACTGATTTTTCCATGTAACTTTTTTATTTCTCAATGAATTTTTGAACAATTTCCTATTCTAAGTTCAGCATAAAGGGTAGAATTTAAAGAATATGGTCCGTGGGGTCACTTTTTGACCCCTTATAGGTGTTTTAGAGACCTGAAATATAGAAACTTTTAGTAATTTTCAAAATAACATTGTAAGAGTTATCCCCCTTTACAGAGCTCTAGAGAGAACTACATACTCTTTAGGTTTCCATTTTTATAGGCTTCTGAAGACTTGATCCGGTTTGATTATTTTTTAAAGTTTTTCATTTTGTTAGAGTTAACGCCCTTTAAGGTCCTCGAGATTTAAAGCGTCGAAAAGCCCTCCGTTTTTGTTGAACGACAAAAAAGGTCTAGTTATTTATGTAATTCTCTAACTTAGAAAATTTTTTTTTTATCTTTTTGATACGTAAAGATGTAATTTATGATCGAATGCAGCATGTTCTATCACATGATACAGTTTGGCTGTGAGTTTTGATTCAATTGGATGTTATGATATGCAGTAAGGGGGTAAAAGATTTTTAAAAGTGGCCTAAAAATGAATGAAAACTATATCCATCTATCCATTAATGAATTTCAAAAATCAGCAATTTTTTTTAAATTCACTCATCTAAAGAAATTAAAATAATAATAATAATAAGTATCAGGGATAAAAAGTAACCCCGACAATTATGTCATGTACATTTGCCGACTAAATATTCATGTAAGTATTGGGAATTATTAATTTTTTGGTAAAAATATACATTTTTGATGTATTGATATAAAAATACCATGACCACAATTAGCATTTAACGGGGCCTATCATCAGAGAAAAAAAATCGTCTAACATCTTAAATACGCCTTATCATTAAAAGTTACGCTATTTTAAAAGAATACAATACTGTATGACTTATTATATTGCTTATTTACTACCGATAATTAGTTCGTTCAATAATATAAATCACACTTCGTTTTTTTTTTCTTTTTATTTCAGTTAAAAAAAACAAACAAGGTAAATCAAGTTTTACATTATTTTTTGGTAAAAGATAATTTAAAATCAAAATAATACCATAGTAGTTTACGATTGGACATACATGTGCATTTATGGTGTTCATTTAATTTTTTTTTAATTTTCAGTTATAATAAGAAGATCAATAATTTTGATGTTGATCTGGATTTAAACAAAATTGTAAATTAGAATTATAAAAATAATGTACATGTAATTGAATGAAACCACGTACATGTACATATACATAATCTTGTACAGTATCTTGAGATGATGAAATGCTATAATTTGTCAAAACCCTTTTTTTTCAGTAACGAATGTGATAACCATTATTTTCTTTTTTTCCTATACATTAAAGTATGTTTTTTTCTGATAAATTAATGGATTTTAAAAATAAAAAAAAAAATAAAATAATTGTGTAAATATAACATGCTAACTGGATAATTAAAATATAAATATAATTTTTTAATCATGTTAATAATTTCATATTGTACTTTACAACATGCATTGCTTGTACAACGTACATTTTATTTACATTGAAAGACAAACTGGCATGCTGATCGGTTGACGCGCTGATTGGTTAACACGTCTTATCGCTAATCCTAATTGACAGCTCTGTTACGCAACACCGAACGCGCGTTCGCTTTCTAGGTTCCCTACTGAATTTGGGAATCCCTTTCGGCGTTCGCTCTGGGTCCGCTGCGGGTTCGCTCGGGGTGCGCTCCGGGTTCGCTCGGGGTCAGCTATAGTGAACCCGAAGCGATCCCAGAAAGCGAACCCGGGGCGCTTTGGGTTCGCTTTCTGTTAGGTTGGGTCTGGTTGGTACTGTATTTTGAATGTCTTGAAAAACATTCGACTAATGGCCAAAATACCACTTAATTTTATCTTCACTCATTACTAGATTTTAACACTAGAGGGACATTACATAAAAGTATTTGAAAATTTTATTACTATAATATGTACTACTGTCAAATATACAGGTTCTTGTTTGTTTACCAAGATGATTTTATATACTAAGTTTTTTTTTTTTTTTTTTTTGGTTGGCATACTGCTTCTTGATTTCAAGACTGATTATGATCCATGACCTTAACGAAACTACCTGTCATTGGGTTTTTGGCAGTAGATTCTCTCTTTTCTGTTTTAAAATATCCTGAATTTTCTGCATTGAAAAAGCTCTTCCTCATTAAAAATCCCTGCAAAACAGTAATTAATTTGATTTAATAGTTCTTAAACATTACACAGTTTTTTCCCAACTGTTGGCTATAGTTTTTCAATATTTTTTATAAATTTTGGATCAAAATTTTAAGCTTATATAATAATACATGTATGTACTATGTACCTGTTTTGTGATGAATTTTCCATTTTCTCTTAAGATTCTGCTCCTTATTAATACATGACTGAAAATCGAAAAAAGAAAAATGTCATTTTTCATTAAAAATTTTATAAGGCTAGGATATTTTCATCAATGCAATATGGGTTTTTTTCTTTAGCTTTGCTAAGCACCAATAGCTCTGTCCAAACTTGTATGATTTTACTCTGCACTTTGTCAACAGTTAAAATCATCAGACATTGAAAGACTCATCTGAGAGATATCTGACTTTTTTTTCTAAAATTGCTCATTTGGTAAAAGAACAGGGACCTGGCTGAATGAGATTTATAGTAGAAAATTGATCAGCCTTTCATCTTTATCACATTATTATGTACATCCTATATCAGACTGCTTAATATGTCAGCTAATTATTAAGCCCTTCTTTGTCAATCTATAGTCCAGCAAGTTTAAAAGTAAAACAGTTGGTCGAAAAAGATTGAAAATCTATTCATACTCATGTAATAAAAGACAATTTAAAAACTGAGGAAATTCGAAAGTACATAATTGCACGCTCCTACTCACCTATCAGTAACTTGCTGTAGCTCAGTCTTCTTTTCTGATGATAAAAGTATTGTTACATAGTGTTTTATGATTCCAGTGAAGAATGTGATCAATACAATGGGTAAAAACACCCAAATTCGGATGTCCGAGTCTAAGAGCAACTCGGCCATTTCTAAAACCGGAAATACCTTGCTGACGGTAACATGGTCGGTAAAGATTGAAAAATCTAACACACATTAAGAATTATAGCATTAAAATATCTCTTTTTGAATATTAATTTTAAAAGGCTGTAAAATATAGCTTGTTGTACTTCAAACGTTGAGTTGAGTTTAATGTCGTAAAACAGGGGAAGTTACTCTGATATTACTTTGATACCCAGCATGTGTGATGAAAGCATACCATCAAAAGTTGAGCAGTATGAGCAGTTTCTAAATGAAAGATTGAAGACAGATCTTAGGTACTGTACATGCTATGTTTTTATGCATATAAGATTGATTAGTATTTAAATTTAAGTGACATAGTGTATTTTACACTTATATAAACAGAAAGTGCATATCAGATGGTCATGAGTCTTCAATTTTTTTTTTTCATTTTCAGTCAAGTATTAGATCAGAGAGACAAGTTATATGGGGAGGTAGCAGAATATTTACAGCTTAAAACTGTCATAGAAAGAGTCAAGGTTTGTGGTGCACTGACGTATGATCATAATAGCTGCAGAACTGCATGTAGCATTATGGTTTAATAAAATTTATATTTTAGTTTTTGACCGTAATGCTACGGATCCCGTAATGCAATATTGTGCAATTTATGACGCAAGATTTTCTGCAGACTTTGGGGATGTATTTTGGCACTTTCCAGCATTGGTCAATCAATGACCTTTCATTCCCTAATTCTAGACATATTCTATTATAATTATAACCAATGAATATGTATATTTTATAGGGATGGGTATCGGCAAAGATTTCGTATCGTGATATATCACGATTTTTTCCCAAAAATATCACGATAAATCGTGATATTTTTACACGCAATTTTTACTACAATTTCAATTGAATTTCCATAATAGTTCTTAAAAATATGCCATAAAAACATAACTTTACTTTTTAAATTTTCATTTATATAATATAAAGCATATTTTGATGCCATTGTTTAACTGTTTTCAACATTTTTTACACTTCCTGTAATTGTCATTCAATAGTTTGAACAAATAAATGAATAATTTCCGGAATTTATAGTTATGTACCAAATACCAGTATTTTAGTCTCTGTATCACGATACGTATCACGCAATAAAAAATCGCAATATACCGGTTTACTGATAAAATCGGGCATCCCTAATATTTTATCCATCTCCTAACCATTTCAAGTTGTTTCCGCACACCAATAAACTCACTTGTTATGAATTCTATGAAAAATTGGGTATTTTTTCTACAAGGAATATTGACAAGGGTGTCAAATTTCTACATAGAATCTTGACCAGGGTGTCAAAAATGATTCCCAGTCAGTATTATACGGGGGTCACTTTTTGTCGTTACACCCTAACTGTGGGTTGTTTGGTTAACAGTGATACAGTTTAAATCTTTGATCAATATCAGATAAAGCAAAAAAGATCTGCAAACTCCAAAATCTCCTTCAAAGCAGTCAGTGGAGAAAATCTTATGTATCCAATTAATAAATTGTCTGATTACGGCATAATTAACACACTAATGATGGGATTTAAGTTAAAGAGACTAGTAGAAGAACATCTCCCTGACAGAGTGCTTGCAAAATTATGATTTTGTGTGCATTAGGCAAATACATAGGGTTTAAATCACACAGCCTTATGATATGAAGAGTTCATTTTTAAAAGCTTTAATTTAAAAGTTTAAGTATAAACAAAATGCCTGAGGATGCTTCCATACATGTATCAGTATAACTAGTGGCTTTGCTGTTCTTGAACAGAAGATTTTTAAAGATTTTTTCCTAGTATATATTCCTTTGTAAAAATTTGATACCCTAATGTTTAATGTATACCTTAATGTACCCTAAAGTTGCCTTTTCCTAAATTGTGAAATGTTTGGTCCCAGATCAGGGGTTCTGAAGTAAGAGTGGGACTCTAATGATCTTGTATTGAAATATCTGCAATAATGTATCCTCTCCGATATTTTTAATCTGATATTTTCAGGAGAGGGCTACAATTACATGGGATATCCATAAAGATACTTAACCGGTGCAAATATAATTTTTAGATAGGGGCAACTGCAAAATAAATTGTATTTACATTCAACTTACTTCATTAAGACAGAAATTTTATTCACCGTCAACAACATACCATATATACTCGCCTATAAGTCAGTTTTTTGGGAGATAAATTTTGGTCCGATTTATAGGCAAGTCATAAAAACATAAGTATTTTTCTGAACAATGAAATGTAGAATTTTAAAAACATTTCCCATGATTATCGTTGAACAAAGTCTAGATATATTATATCATTTATGTATTCTAAAATTATTAATACATAAAGTACAAGTATTTACATATTTTGATAACTTTATTTTTATTTTAAGTGTGCATTATGTATTTTTCTTAATGATTTAAAATTAAATGTAGGCGTCATTTCCAAGAATATTAATTGAAACCAGATTGAAACATCAGGGCATTGATTTGAAATTGTCAGCTGATTCTGGCAAAAAGTTTTACCGACTTATATGTGGGTAAATAGCAAATCCCTCCAATATAACCTCAAAAAGCACAACCATCTTATAGTCTCTTTCTCTTTCTCTCCTCTCTGTTTATTTATTTATTGTCCATTTAAGTCTTTGGTATAGTGAAATAAACTATATATATGCATAATACATAGATGTTTCAAAGTTTATAATAAAAAATAATGGGAAAAATTACTTATTCTTCAACAAACAGAAAATTCTTATCACTATTTTTAAAAAAAATTATGAACTCTTTATTCTTGTTTTGTTTACTTTAAATTAGATTTAGCAGAATGGTTTATTTTTGCAAAAAAATCAAAGTAATTTATAATTATAAGGGAAATAACTTTACACAACAGAAAATGCTGCTCCCAGTTCAAAATTTGATTATTGCATTATTTGTTTGTGCATTAAATCTTATATGTTTGAAGAACAATATTTATATGCTTGGTAACATGCCTTGGAATATGATATGTCAGCTTGAAATCCCAGTTGAATATTATTTGTTGTACCATTAGGAAAAGTAGAAGTGCATCTGATGCCCTAAATTATCCACATGCTGAGAGGAGGTCTATAAAACATTCTTTATTTGACCAAGTACATGTATGTAATTAGGGTTTGACATTCACTATCCCTTTCCCTTGTATGCATTTAGTGGACTTAAATTCTATATTTTTCATAAGTTTTGTCCTATTCAGACATTGTGTCGTTGTGTTGAATGTTAGCCAAAATGCACTTGCATCATGACTCCCTCATTGTTCTACACATTACCCAGTATGTCATATTTTTTCATTGCATATAAATGTTTGTTTGGTGTTTTATTCAAATGCATACTGTTAATAAACCTATGTTTAACCTGTTTACTTGTTGCATGGTTCTACTCTACTAACCATAGATTTCCACTTAATAATGTTTTTGAATGGATAGTGTGAAATGATTAACCTTTGGGCCATCAGTAATTTGAGTAAATGTTCACCTTATTACTGTCCCTAGCCATACTTCTGGGAAAAATAAAATCATTCAATTAAGCAATTGAGCCATTCAATCAAAAATGAGAGCCATGCAAATTGTGGGCTTAAAAAATTGTTACAAGGTTGCCTCTGTCGCGCATAGGCGACCTTCTCAAGCTATGTTACATTAAAGAGATAAAGTTTGTATAATCTTAAAACACTTGATATAAGCATTCAATTCTAATTCTAAAAATTAAAGTTATGAAAAGGACCCGGGGGAGGGGGGGGGGGAGCGAACATATAAGAAATTCGAAATTCATTGAAAAGCCAACAAAAAAATTACTTTCCTCAGGCTTTATTTATATGTCAGGAGCAAAAATAGGGAGAACCATACTGCAGTGCATGATTTGGAGACAAGCCAATCTTATTTACAATAAATTATCAATCCTGTGCTCATTGTGTAAAATAATAGAGCAAGAAGTGTGTATACATGTAAAAGTTTGTTGAATTTGTGGAGATCTGTTTACCCCATCAATGTTTTCTTTCGTTTAAAATACATGTACATAAACATTGAGCCCAGCAAAAACAGTTTTTGGTTCTTAATTTATGTATCAAACAAACACAAAAGACATGAACAATTAATACACCAATAATTACAAATGCTTTACAGTTCTTGTTTAGGAAGACAATTTGATCAACGGAAGAGAAGGACGCAACTTTGTAATGATTAGACTAGTGAAAGAGGATATCTTTGGGAATGGACGTTAAAGTGTCGTGATTGCAAGTCGATTATCACAGGCACTTGACGTTACCGTACATATTAATTTTTTCTTATTAAAAAAAATAAATATAACCCCATATCTGTTTTTGTAAATAAACAAGACGAAAAATCATATTTTAAATTGTCATTTTCAACGAAAAATTAAGAAAACCAGTCACAAATATGGGAGTTTTTTCCATATCAGACAAATGGAAGGTATCCAGACTGCTTACAGTCTCTCAGAAAATGGTAATTTGTGTGTTCTTAGCCTCTTCTTTAAAATAAAATCAAATTGAATATAGGTATCGGGATTAATTTTCACATGATTTCAAATTGAATTCCATGAAAGGAATTTATTTTCTACATAATTCTATTAGTGCCGTAAAGAACAGGAAAAATAAAGTTAAAATTGATTATGACGTCATAATGGATCTAGCACCAAAAAGACAGTCTGAAGTCATTTACTAGATCTTGACCTTAAGATCAGATAATTTATCTCCGAATCTGTCAGCCCACACCACCCCACCTTATGAATCAAATGGTTGTCCCCAAAACATGCTAAAGTAAAAAAAAAAATGCATTGAATCATGTTCCATCTGTAGATGGAAGTTATAATGTAATAAAGTTGTTAAAAGATAAATTTTTACAAATATTTTTAAAAAATTACCATTGAAACCTAGTGAACGATTCCAACTTTGTATAATGAAATTTGGTAAAACTGTTATGTATGTCCTGGACATTATAAGAAGCCCTGTTCAAGCAAGAGAAAAAAACTACATTAAAACTTGTTTAGTATGAACACAGATATTTACGAATTTACGGATATAGTGAAGTTTTTTTAATCCCCCAGCAAATATTTTGAAAATTCCTTGTAAAATTCTAGGGATATAACGAACACAGATATAGCAAATTTATAGATATTACAAACTGATTTTGTGTTCCTTAGAGGTTAAAAAAAATGAAATTTACATCTTTTAATGAGTTTTCAAAGATCTCAATTTTTAGAATATTAACTGATAACATTTTTGTAAGTATTTCTATTTGAAATCATTTCATACAAAAACTTTTGAACTCAAAGGTAACCTCCGTTTTTCATACCTCCATTAATACAATTTTTTTCGTTATACTTCAAGAACAAAAATCTATATTGTAAATTTGCTATGTATATATTAATATAACGTTTTATATGTAACATTACTTAAAAATTAACAAGTATCACATCAATTACTTGTTTCTTTTTAGGTCACCTGAGTCACTCAGGTGACCTATTGCTATCTGTTTTTGTCTGTCGTCGTTCGTCGTACATCGTTCGTCGTTCGTCGTCAATCGGTCGTAAACTTTTGAACATTTTTAGCTTCTTCTCTGGAACCACTGAACCAATTTCAACCAATTTTGGCATATAGCATCTATGGGTGAAGGGGAGTAAAAATTGTGAAATTCATGGCCCCTGCCCCCCTGGGGCCTGAGGGGTGGGGCTAAAACCATCAAAATTAATGCAATCTTTAAAAATCTTCTTCTTTACTCCTGGACATCAAGCAGTCAAACTGTTGGCATGATTGTAATAAGCATTGAGCCCTCTACCAAAATTGTGAAATTCATGGCCCCAGGGTCAGGGGTTCTGGTGCTAGGGCGGGGCTCTAATGATTATATAGTGAAAATGCATTAATTCTTTAAAAATCTTCTCCTTTGCTCCTGGGTATTAAGCCGATGATTTAAGTACATAGTTATGATGAGCAAGAGTGCCTCTTCCAAAATTGTGAATTTCATGGCCCCTGGGTCAGGGGTTCTGGTGTTAGGGCGGGGCTCTAATGAATATATAGTGAAAATGCATTAATTCTTTGAAAATCTTCTCCTCTGCTCCTGGGTATTAAGCTGATGAATTAAGTACATAGTTATGAAGAGCAAGAGTGCCTCTTCCAAAATTGTGAATTTCATGGCCCCAGGGTCAGGGGTTCTGGTGTTAGGGCGGGGCTCTAATGATTATATAGTGAAAATGCATTAATTCTTTGAAAATCTTCTCCTCTGCTCCTGGGTATTAAGCCGATGAATTAAGTACATAGTTATGAAGAGCAAGAGTACCTCTTCCTAAATTGTGAATTTCATGGCCCCTGGGTCAGGGGTTCTGGTGTTAGGGCGGGGCACTAATGAATATATAGTGAAAATGCATTAATTCTTTAAAAATCTTCTCCTCTGCTCCTGGGTATTAAGCTGATGAATTAAGTACATAGTTATGAGTTATGAGTTATGAGCAAGAGTGCCTCTTCCGAAATTGTGAATTTCATGGCCCCTCTTGGTGAGGGGTTCCAAGTGGGGGGGGGGGGGGGGGGAGGGCTTTTTTTCTATATACTTAAAATAAATTAATGCTTTGAAAATCTTCTCTGCTCCTGGGTATTGAGCTGATGAACTAAGTACATAGTTATGATGAGCAAGAGTGCCTCTTCCAAAATTGTGAATTTCATGGCCCCTTGGTCAGGGGTTCCATGTTGGGGGGGGGGGGGGGGGGAAGGACTTATTTTTTATATACTGAAAATAAATTAATGCTTTGAAAATCTTCTCCTCTGCCCCTTGGTATTAATTAAACAAACTAAATACATAGTTATGATGAGAAAGGATGCTTCTTCCAAAATTTTGAATTTCATGGCTCCTGGGTCAGGGGTTCTTGAGCTTGGGTGGGGTTCTATTGATTAATTAATAGCAAAATGCATTAATGCTTTGAAAAACTTCTCCTCTGCCCGTGAGTACTAAGCAAACAAGCTAAATGCAATAATATCAATGTAAATACTAGGGCTGGGACGATATATCGAGATATCGATAATATCGATTCAATGTGAGGATGATACGCATATCGATACGTATGAAGAAATATCGAAATATCGCCCACAAAATCTGACTTATGTTTTTTTCTTTGTTTACTCAACATTTTGGGTTAAATATATAAAATATTTATGCAAAATATAAATATGAATATGCAATACCTAATAATAAACAACACTTGTGTAAAATAAATTTGTTTCACAACAGATATACAACTTCTTTGAATAAATTATTCTTATTTGTGAAGAAATGTTTTGTTCATTTCAATACAAAATTTTTTTTATAAGAAATTCAACATATCGTGATACATAACGTATCGTGGCTCAAATATCGTGATACGTATCGATATAGAAAATGTTGTATCGTCCCAGCCCTAGTAAATACATGTATTAAATTTAATTATAAGTAAATGTGCCTTTTCTTTGCTTGTGGGTATCTAGGAGGCAGAGTACACAATTGTGATGTGAAGCAAATGAGAGTTACTCCCCTTTGCTAAATATTGTTAATCAAGAAATCCTTGTATATAATTTAATTAACAGGTTATTTGATTGAATGAGAATACAAGAAAGAATGTTATATATATATAGAAACAAAATAAAAATGAATGTTTGGTTTAAATGAGCAAAGTATGTTCAAAGTCAGATTCTTGCCTGGAAAGCAGTATAAAAGATTGACATAAAGATTATTTATATATTTAGCAAAAGGTGTAATTGTACACAGTATGTATACTCTGTGGTGATCTAAGTTAGTGTCACTTGTAGAGGAGTTGTGGTTGACAGGAGACTGGATGTTGTTTTATACTTTATCAAAGTGAACAAAGAATCACAGAGAGCCAGAGTGACTTATTGTAAATAGTGACAAGTGGCAAATAACCTCATTGTATATACCCAAGTCTGTGTGTACTGAATTGTAGCACTAGGCAAGTGACAAAAAATGTCTGTATATATTTAATACCTTACACAATAGGCAAGTGTTCTTTGTATTTGTATATTTTGCATTCATTATCATCCCTGTAAGACTTAAAAAATATGATGTGAGATTTGCCTTACTTATAGATAACATTTGTCGAGGTGAGCTTCGTAATCTTTGATTACCTATGTTTGAAATTCTTGGGCAATATTGCTTCGTCTATCAGTTAATTTTTTATACTTCCATGGATCCTTTAGTGTTGTATTATACTCAGGTGACCGTTAAGGCCCTTGGGCCTCTTGTTTTATTTCTTCATCTATAACGAGAGTTCAAGTATTATAAATTATAATTTAAAGGAAATTTCTTAAAATCAAAAGAAATTATGGAAAAAAATAACCAACTAATATATTATGGGCGAACAGACTTTGGGTGAACAAGTTAGAGTGAACGGACTCTGCATGGGCGAATGAGAATTAGGGAAACACGTTTTAGAGTGAACAAACATACAATGTAGAATCAAAATTAATCTAATTTAATAAGAAGGGAGAATGTGAAGGGCAACATCAGGATTTAAACTCGAGACCTTTGACTCACAGTTCATAAATGTTTTGCCATCCTAGCTTTCTAAGTAATGGTCTTTGAACCTGCCAGATTTTCAGAATGACAGTGTAACGTTAACCATCTCCTAAATGTAGCAGGACTTTAATGTAACCCTTGTCATGCCTATGGGTTAAACAAAGCCTTCTAATTCCTGGATAGAAGTTAAACCAGTGGTCCCTTGGTTGTCAGGCCAGAGTTGTCCATAAGAATTGAAATTGAAGGGGATGTTATAAAAGTAGAAGAGTGTCCCCCTAGTGGGGGTTGAGGGGGCAATGCCAGAATAACTGGGGGGAGGAGGATTATGTTATTATGGGCAGGGAAATTCCCAGGGCCCTGGGTCTTATGGACAACCCTGGACTCAGATACTTTAACACTGAGCTATCAAAGCCTGTATCCACGCACAGTCTGTATATCCCAAAACACTACAAGGATGAAGAAAAAAATTAAAAGACATTGTCTATCGACATGTATCAAGTGTATATAGTGGTTTCCAGTTGAATACATATATTTTTCAACAAGTTAAATGGTATGTGCATGGATATCTATCAATATATCGGGTCTCAATAACTCAGTGGTCAGAGCACTGGGGAATTACACCAGAGGCCCTAGATTCAAGTCCTGATTGAGACTTGATTTTTCACCACAAATGACACTGAGGCCAGCGTAAAAAAAAATATTCTAAATACATGTTTTCATTGTTCTCTGAAATTTCATGATAAATATTTTTATCTTTAGATTATTATTTTACTTTAATTTTATCTCCTTTTCAATAAAAAAATGCACTAATTATCTACAGGTTTAGGATGTACCATGCGTTTTGTTTGTGTTTAATATTTTTTCATCAAACTTATCCTGTAAAATTATCTTTGCTTTAGGAATCAGATTACAAAACAGAAGGTCTGAAAACCCAAGTGGATTTGGGTTGTAACTTCTATGTACAAGCACATGTGTAAGTGTGACAATTTATTAATAATTATATTTATTTTTTACTAAGTGTACATGTAATTAAAAGGCATAAACTCTGGGTTCAATTTTGATATTAATCACATCTTGAAAATATAATAATGTTGACCATTTTGAATTTTGTTTTTCATTTTAGTCCAGATGCATCCATGATTTTTGTGAGTGTGGGTTATGGATTTTTCCTGGAAATGACCCATGATGAGGCTCTGGCCTTTATTGACAAAAAAGTCTCCATAATAAATGACAAGATTGAAGTCCTTACCAAAGATGCTGCTAAAATAAAGGCCCATATCAAGCTTGTACTACAGGTAAACTTCCCATCATAACATGTGTGTTTAAGGACATACGCAACGTAGTTTGAACTTTATTGTCTTTTTCAATGGAGTTGAAGAGTTCCAATACTTAAAGGATCTGTGTGCTACATTTTAATGTCTATATATGCTGTTGTACACTTCTTCTAAAACAAGTTTGGATACATAAAACATCTAGAATATATGTTTAGTAATTTTCGTATATTTTTCTTTGAATTATACAAGAATTTTCATCAATTGATATCTTTTCAAAACCCCTGGTAATGCATGCTGATTTTTTGTCTACGAACTTCTGAAGGCACTATAATCTTAAATTAAGAATATCTTGAAAAATTATCAGTAGGTAAGGTACGTTGCGTATGTCCTTAATCTTGTAGTGATAGAAACAATGGAAAGAACAAAAGAAAGGGTTAAATTTTATCAAATTCTGGGATCTGCCTTACCACTGGCTATCTATTTCTCACAACTAGGCTATCAGTTGAAAGAGTGATATTGTAATGTATTCTTGATGGAAAGAAAAATTGAATAGGTGTGTTATTTCTATGAAATCTGCTTTACCACTCTCTCTTGTTTAAAGCTTTCTGATAAATTGGCTCTGACTTTTTTGTCAGATCTTTGTGAAAAATTTGTGGTAAATTATTTGTTTTTAGTGTATTGTAAAATATGCAAAATAAGGTAGTTAATCATATGCATATTTACACACAGGTCATACAAGACATAGCAAGAAGGCAACAATGGAGTAGCACAAGTTTTCTTTACTACTGTTTATAGGCCTACATTTAATCCCTATACTCCTCTAAATGATATGTTTTTATTGTTTAATTAAACATTACCCTCTCCAGAATAAATTTGGAATAGGAATGCTTTTGTCATCATGGACTTTTTATAAAATACTGTAGAAGCACAAATTTTCGTGAGGATAAAATTTATTGATTTGCCATCTAAAAGGGTTTCCTGGGCATTAAATTTTGTCGTTACGATTGTAACCCTATTCATTATACAGTCATATAAAATTTCGTGTTGGATTTAATTTCATTGATAATTGGTAACAAGCAAATAAATGAAATAAAATCCCCAAGGAATACTTCTGCTTTTACGGTTTACAAATATCTGTAAAGTAGTAGTCCAGGAACTTGTTGGTTGAATATTTTCTGTCATTATGTATTTTCAGGGTTTGCAAGAGATACAGAATCTAGATTTTGAAACAGAAAAACCTTACAGAGATGTGTTAAGCTGAAAGAACACTTGATTAAAGATTTCAAAAAGACCTACCCCATGTTTAAGATGACCAAGCTGTACATCTGGAAGCAAGCCATGGAGACTGATTGGACTATACTACAGACTATGAACAAGTCTAAGAGCAATGAATTAACAAAAGAATCTGTGAAAAATGACTGTTTTCTATGTTTGTTGTCAATCATATCTATATTCCATTTTCCCTGGGGGAAATGAAAAGTTATTAAAAGTTTATTTCTGTTACTATGTTTTCCATGGTTTCTCAAGTTGCATTTAAAAGAAAAAACATGCCAATATATTAATTTAAAGTCAATTTCAAGAATGAAAGGGTTCATTCTTTGCTTTGAACCTTTAGTGCAATGTACATGTATACAGTTTGAGATACTAAGTGTATTGGAAGTATAAGATTGGTCTGCCAGATGGCTAACATTAGATTTGAAAGGCATCTCTTAACAAACATTTCATAACTGGAACTGCAAACCCAAGTCACTCATACATTAATCCATTGCAATTTGTTAACATTCATCATTGATTGTAATCAATAAAATGTGTAGAAATTAGTTGGTCATATATGTAAAATGCATTTATCTCTAAAAATCTTCACTATGCCTGAGATACTAGGAAAGAAACTTCATAAATATGATAGCAGAGGTACTGTGAGCAAGCTCACAAAATTATACCCCCTGCTGCAAAGTGCCATATCGATATGTGATTGTGACCTTGAACTTGCCAAATGACCTTGGTTAAAAAAATTGACATCATCTGGTCATAAAAACCCTTGAGTGAATATGGACTTGAAATGTTTCTTCATTAGAAAATTATGGACCTGACATGAATTTAACAATTTTTTTTGCCAGTGACCTTGAACTTCCCACAACGAACTTGGTCAAAGTTAAGACATACAGTTGAACTTCGGTATCTCGAACACTGATATCTCTAATGCCATGGATATGTTGAAGTGATTTGGAAGTCCCAGTCACTTATTCTGTATGTATTTTACCCTCGATATCTCGAATCTTCGGATATCTCGAAGTTTTTTCTCAGTCCCATCAAGTTCGAGATAACGAGGTTTGACTGTACCTTCAGCTCACAAATAATCTTTGTTTGAAGTTTAAACTTTCAATAATTATCCGTAAGAGAGTAATGAACTGGATACAAAATTTTTTTCTTTTTCAAAACACAAATTTAACTTTCCTGCTGGTGACCTTGAACTTGCCTAAATGACATTGGGTCAGATCACTTCATACCCATGAGTCAAAAGCAATTTTTGTGTCAAGTATTAACTTTCAATCAGTCTCCATTTGAGAGTTATAGACCAGACAGAAATAATACATATTTTGGTTCTCTCAAATATACATTGTAGATGCATGTATGTGTATGTAAATACACTAAAATTAGGGAATAAAGTCAAGGAGAATCATGACAAAAGTATAGTTGAAAGTTAGAAATTTTGTGAATTACAGGCAACAATTATGTCTAGTTTCTCAACAGTTTTTGAGAGTTGTTGGTTCATGTAGCTGGGAATATCCAAATCTATTCTCACCTCAGCTCTCATTAACTTCCTCAATCAGGACAAAGAGACACATTGCAAAGAATTAAACATTGCACTAAAATCCGGAGATCATATATCGTTCAAAGGACAAGCAGCATGTTGATTGTTTAACTTTTATTTCTTTGTTCTTTGACAAAATCATTTTCAAAAACAAACAGTACATCTGTTGGTCAACAACTGTTCTGAGACAAGGAGATACAGCACTAGGTCGCTCAAAACCATTTAACATGGAAATGCTTATCTAGCAAAAAACGTTTGAATTGGCAAAAAATCAAGGAGATACACATATAAATAAAAGAATAACTAGTACAAGTCATAATATATGTGATAAAATTTGATAAAGGTCTAGCATTTCTATTTGGAGAGTTTGTGTACTAAAGCACCATTTTACTGGGACAGAATTTGGTTGACGGCCTTAACAATGCAGTTTGCACTGATTCCGTATTTCTCCAGGAGTTCCGCACTTTTGCCAGATCTTGGGACTTCGGGAACAGCAAGCTTCTTGACGGTGATGTCGCGACAACATGCCACAGCTGAGCAAACAGCCTCCCCTAGACCTCCTAGAAATGGAGAATACAGGTTATGTGTTTGTAATAAAGCAAGCAAATCTTCTTGGATGTATCTACTAGTTACATGTACAAATATTCATTACGTAGGTACAGTCTAACCTTGTTATCCCAATGAGGGCTGAGAAAAAACTGATGTATCTACTGATTTAAGATATTGAGGCTAAAATACATTTATTTAGAAAAAGTGGTTGGTACTTCCAACTCACTTTGATATATCCATAGTATTTGAGATATTGAAGTTCAACTGTATCTGTAAGAATAATACTGTTTGTCTTTGCATTTTCAATACAAGTAATACAAGATTCCATTAACAATATTTGTGACCATTTCATCAGCTTCTGCCATGAGGCGTATGAGTTTTGAGTAAACATTTTCTACATATTGTAAATTCAGACAGCTTACCTTCAGGGTAATGATCCTCCACAGTTATGATCTTTCCTCCTGTTTCTTTGGCATTCTTTCGGATCAATTCTTCATCAATTGGTTTAATGGTGAAGGGGTCAATCACTCGGATGTTCACTCCGTCAACAGCGAGTTTGTCTGCGGCCTTCAGGGCCTCGAACAAGGTCACGCAGCAGCCAATCACTGTCACTTTGTCACTGTCACTCTTACGTACCACCTACAAACAAAATTTAATTAGACAATGAATGATTTTTATTTTGTATTTCATGGTGCCATAAATTACCCCAGTATACATCCTTTATTAGACCTTTTTTTCCCCAAAAAGTTTTTACTATTTTGTCATGTTACATAAATTTACATATTGATTGTATAATTTATTAATGTAACTTATTTACATTTGCATTTCAATGAAAAGTAGTAAATAGGGAAAACACACATTAATTGTAAACTTACAGAAATGGCAATAAAATGTAGATCAAGCTTGATTCAATGAATACTACTTAAAATATTTAAATGTAGTAAATTCTAAAAATAATCTCTTTCAGCATTGAAAAGTTAAAGTAATTAATCACACAATTATTCAAAATTTTAAAGTCAGGAGATTTAGAATGTACTTTTGGAAAATATTCAAAATAAAGCAAGTTTTCAGGGATACAATTGCTAATTTAAAGCCTGATAGATAAAAGTAACTACATTAAAATATCTGTCTCACGTATCTATGACTCCATAACAATGCACACTTACCCTAGCTTTTCCAATCTGAAGATCATCATCAGCACTGTAGATTATGGGAGTATTGGGACGACTTGTTCTGATGAAACAGACCCCAGGGGTGTTAGCTGCCAACTCCATGGCCCTCTCTGTAGATACAGCATCACTGGGGTAGAAGACCGTGGACCCTGGGATAGTACGGAACATGGCTAGGTCTTCCAGTGCCATCTGGGAGGGACCATCTTCACCTGTGTGAAGACAAAATGAAAGTGGACCTATTATGTATAAGGACAAAATGAAAGTAGACCTTATTCTGTGTTAGGACAAAATGAGACTTTGTACTGTGCAAGAAAAAAAAAAGAAAGTAGACCATGTCCCATTTTCAGCATCAATCAAGACCATCAAAAGAGTTGGTATCCAGTCAACTTGTACCCATTCCGACTCGTACCCAAACCGAATCGTACCCAAAGAGTCAACTCGTACCCAAAACTGAAGTCATAAAATAAATAATGAAAATATTTCACTTTTTGATATATTTTCATAAAGATATCTGATTTATTATTCCAATTTAGTTACACTACTTATATTTCATAAATTAATGACAATTAAATTAAATTTGTTTGAAAAATTCAACTTGGCATAATATAGATATAGATAGGGCCTAATAGATTTATCAGGGCCCTTTCAGGCATCACAAACAACAAGCATGATTTATGCAATTACAAACAGCACAGACAAATTATGTGTATACTAATAATCTGTATTACATGTCTTTGTATATAGTATAACACTGTATATGTAAATACAGGTGACTCTCGATGGCTCGAACTCCGATCTCTCGAAGTTCTCGATCTCTCGAAGTGAACCTCCGGTCCCATTTTTTTCCTCTATATAACTTAGCAAATTTACTCCTGATCTCTCGAACTCCTGATCTCTCGAAGTTCTCTATCTCTCGAACCAAGACCTGGGTCCCGTTACACATATTTCATTGTTTTTTACTCTCTATTTCTCGAAGTTTTGATTGCGCATGTATACATGTCAATCAAGCGTAAAATTAATTCAGCTTGGACTTATCTGGGTAACAGTGAACGCCTTGGGCTGGGATGGACGTGTTGATTGGGTGTTTACATAGATGATACTACACCTGTGAGTCGTCCGAGTGTTGATATAATTATTTGGTTAGTTGGTAAATTATAAACAAATCACTTCACAACTTATTTTGACTGGACGAGACGATAATTTTGAGAAAATAATTTAGGGACGTGTCAGTAATTTTCCATAGATTATGAACTTTAATATTATTAGAGTCTACACAATCCCAGTTTGACAAACATTGCACAAGAAATCCTATCTCAAGAATTGTATACCGATTACGAACAATCTTGTGAAGGACCGATCAAGCCCGCGCCCAGGGGTTAGAAAAATCGACAATTGCTATTCAGGTTTCATGTTATCATGAAATAAGAACAAATAAATATTGAAACTTAAATTAATCATTTTATTTATTCAGAACACGATCATTGTTGTTGAAATCAAGTAAATAACCTGTAAAATACGAATGAAAACGTGTAATGATGATAATGACATTATCAACATATACTTCCGGTATCTATTATAGTAGAACAATGATGATCGGAACTGAAAATTCCGGATTTTATTCACTTTCTATCTCTCGAACCCCCCGATCTCTCAAACTTTTCTTACAGTCCCTTGAACTTCGAGAGATCGAGAGTCACCTGTAACAGTTTTGTGTACGAGTTGACTCCTTGGGTACAACTCGGTTTGGGTACGAGTCGGTTTGGGTACGAGTTGACTGTAAATCAAAGAGTTTACTCATGAGATTTCTATCCAGATCATAAAATAAAATAAATAAATCATGATTCATGTTTTGGATTTTTTTAAGCGGTGGTGGTCTTAAGTGGTACCATGCCCATTTTTACATCCATTCTCTGATTATCACATATGAATTTGTAATTTTGATTAACGACAAATAGCAATCACATGAGTGAGTCATCAAAACTTAATTATCATTCAGTCTATTTGATTTTAAAAAACAACAAATTCCACTAACCAATAGAGACTCCAGAATGAGAGCCCACAAAGTTAGCATTAGTCTGAGAGATAGCACCCATTCTGATCTGGTCAAAGGCTCTGGTCAGAAAGCAGGCAAATGTAGAGATAAATGGTACGGTTCTCCCTCTGGTTCCACAACCGATTCCCACTCCAACCAGGTTCTGTTCAGCGATGAAGCACTCGATAAACCGGTCCGGAAAAGCCTCCTAGAAAAGAGAGCCAAAAATAGGGGGCAATTATTCTGTTCAGGAACTAATGAATAATGGGCTGGTCGAATATACTGTAAATGTGGACATTTTTACGGGGTAAAATTTTGCAATATTCATGTAACAAAGTATTCACATGAAGGTTATTTTTGCAGAAGTCAAAGAATTGACAAAATCTGTTGGTTTGCTGTTTAATATTGTACCTTTTTGAAACTGTTTGCATGGTGATTTAATTTGCTAAACTTTACTAATCTCAAAATTCGCAAAAATTTCCACCACACAAACATTTCCATGTTTACAGTATAATAAACTTTAAAACACTTAATTTTTCAACAACTCAAAAACTATTAATACAGGTTTGCCATTGGTTTCAATGGTATTCATGGACAGACTAAGCTTCAATTTGATGGCAGATGTTCAGATATTTACATAGTTTGACTAACCTTCAGTTTGATGGCAAATGTAGAATTTTTAGTGTCTCCGTCCATGGCGATCACTCTGTCATTGTTTTTGCCCAGCTTTACAAGACCAGTTCCATAAGCAGCTCTTGTTGCAACCTAGTAATTACATGTAAATGGAAGTAAACTGTCTAAACATGTAATCATGTGGCTTAAAAAGAAATATGGGAAGTTTTTCATTGTCCACTGATCAAATAAGTTAGAAAAATACTTGTCACATTTTTTCCAATTCAGAGAATAGATACATGTTTGCTTACCATATCACTATTAGCTTGTGAAATACTGCTGGATATGATAAGCACACTTACTGTAGCTCCTTTGTCATATGTGGGAGGTTCGGACAGCTTGATGTTGGAGATGTTGACAGGTTTGGCGAGGTTACTGGGGGGTTTGGGGGTCAGTCCGTGGGGTCCTTTGTTTGCAATGTTCTCCATAATGGCCTGTATGGCAGCCTCTGATTTGGCAGACAAGGGTTTACCATGCCAGTTCTCCTGATCCTCAATGCCTGTAAAATTTTATACAGTCAAACCTCATTATCTCAAACTTGATACGACAGAGAAAAAATTTCTGAGAAATCCAAGGATTCAAGAATTTCAGGGTAAAATATTTTAAACAATAAAATGCTTTCTTTGGTTGTTTGTACAGGAATTAATGTCGCAGTTGTTGCAGAAAAAATACATAACCCGCGTAAGCGGGTTATGTAATTTTTTTTTCTGCAATAGCTGTGACATTAATTCCCGTACAAACAAACAAAGAAAGGCATTTTATTGTTTATATTTATATCTGTATAAAAACTAGAACTGTCCAAAAGGGACAAATACCCCCCGCTGGGTTTTTCAGAGAAGGTACCAAATCACTAATGTTTTCTAGATGTGAGACGTGTTCACAATTTGCTTAAACATTTAGAGTGAAAATTTAATTACTCATTATATTTTTTTTTTAATGAATGCAACTAAGGTGCAGCCTAATAAAACATCAATACTAGTAATTACAGTGTTTTTTATTACATTGAAAATATAGTTTGCAACTATCTGTCATCTTTGTGAGACATGACACTCTGCAAATTGATTGTTGAAAAAAAAAATATCAAAATTAATTATACAAAATCAAATTGATCTTAATACCTTTATATCAAACTCATTTTAAAAATAAAAGGCTGGTTTCAGTAACTATGTATTTTGACAGACATAAATTCATTTTAAAAATAAAAGGCTGGTTTCAGTAACTATGTATTTTGACAGACATAAATTACAATTAAGAGACTTAGACAACAGAGATCTTTATTTCTTTCTGCCCAATTCCCAGGAGATATTGATAAGACCTGCTTGATCAGAGATGCCCTAACAGCTTCCCACACTGAACTCATTAATTAATCTTTAACTGGATGCATGTCCACTCATTACTCCCAAGGGATTTACACTATCTGATGTGTAATGTAAAAACTGTTTTTAATACTTTGTGATTTTTTTTTAGTTCTAATGAGTAGTTTTAAGCTGTAGTTCACATTTTTGTACAGATGTTCTAGATTCTATGTCTCAAACCTTAGACATGAACCCGAAATGACTAGGTCAATAAAAATGAAAAAAACCACCTGTAAAATGCAGAAAAATTATCAAATAATGTTGAAAATACCAGGTGCACATCTTCATATGGTAAATAATAAGTGTACAAATTTTCATACAAATCTATGCAATAGTCTCTGGGAACAGATCCAGACAAAACCACATAATAAAAATGAAAAAAAACACCTGTAAAATGCAAAAAAATTATCCAATCATGATGAAAATACCAGGTGCATACCTTCATATGGCAAAGAATAAGTGTACAAATTTTCAGACAAATCCTTGCAACAGTTTCCAAGAAATGGTCCGGACAAAATCTCGTCTACAGACAGACGGACAGACAGACAGACGGACAGACAGACGGACAAGCTGATTCCAATATACCCCCCCTAAACTTCGTTTGCGGGGGGTATAAAAAAATTCAAAGTAAAATTAGATACGTCAAATATTGTAATATTGATGTGTATGTCATTGTATACGTAATTGATGGAACAGCCAAGGGTCAAGGAATCTATGCAGGTGGCTTGCTAAGTGTCGTATACTGACTAATAAATGGCAATGGTTTTCATAGGAAACAAAGGAAATAATATTCAGTGGATGTAAATATTAAAGAATAAGGGTTGGGACTTCTGAATCACTTCAACATATTCATGGTATGCAAGATATTTGTTCTACATACCAAATTCAGTTGTACTTGAAATTGTATAATGAAACTTGAAGAGATCTATGACTTGATTTACTGTGTACAAGCTATTAAGTTGCAAGTTCCATTACCATGAATTTTCATGCATATGAATTTATATGCATCAGTTTTATTTTCCTCTTTGGAACTGAGCATTTTGATATATTTGTGTGGATCTAGTTCATAAAACTTGATCATTCAGCCAAAAGTACAAGGAAAAAATTATGTTGTTCAGAGAAGGAGAATTAAAATAATTGAGACAGGTGGCTTTTCCTGACTGGCCTCAAAGGGGATAATCCAAATATTAATTCTGTACTTATCACTTTTAAATATGTTGTATTTCCTAATTTTCAATCTTAAAATGATCTTGCACACCTGGAATTCCTTTGCCTTTGAAGGTCTTGGCCAGGATACAGGTAGGTCTGCCCTTCACGGTACTGGCGTCATGGAAAGCTTTACACAGAGCTTCTACATCATGGCCATCAACGACACTTGTATTCCAGCTAAAAAAGTCAAGAAATGGGTGAATGGATTCGTATAACCCATGGCAAATTCAAAATCTTCTTCAATCTATTACATTTCACTTTCTGAACTCTGTCCACAATCATGCTGTAGATGGTAAATCAAATGTCTATCGAGTCTTATTGAAATTTTAAGCAAAGGCTAGCTGTCCTTGTTTCATTTAAGCACATTCAGATTTAGCAGAAATGTAAGTCAGGGAGTATTTGGCACAATCATAATTGAGCACTTTTACATTGGATGAATTACATAATGTAAAATTATCACTCTTCATGGGGGACCAATGATGTGGGTTTTGTGACAAACCCTAATTCAGGAGTATTACCAGTATACACAAATGAATTACTTTGTCAACATATTGATTCACCGAATCAGATTATCTCCAGAAACCAGCAAAAGATTGGTGCAGAGAAATTGACCATCCCACTAATTGAAATGATTCCACTGTATATAAATGATATTTTGGCAGTATTATTGAAGTAGCACACAAAAGACTCTGTCAAAGACAACAAAATAAGTACACAAGGACTGTAGGACATTTTACCCAAAAGCCTCGGCTCTCTTCCTGTAAACATCCATCTCATGCTGTAGACTTGTAGGTTCACTCTGACCCAGCCGGTTCACATCAAAGATGGCCACCAGGTTGTCAAGTTTATAGTAACTGCTGAAGGCCATGGCCTCCCAGATTGACCCTTCTGCACTCTCTCCATCACCAATAATGCAGAACACTCGGTAGCTGTAAACATAGAACATTCCATTTATAGACCCTCTACACCTCCAAAACTTTCTCTTCCCTTTAAATCTATCATTATGAAGGATCAAATATTATTAATTTATTTGACAAAAAATGTTATTTGTATCAAATCAAGAAGTTTCAGTGGATTTGGTTAGATCTAAGAGCCAGCTACTGTGTCCTAATGGATCAAACCTGACAAACATGGCTTTTTTTAAAAATCAAATTAAATCTACGAACATTTTTCCCTGTAATGCAACTCTTTGAATAGTACATGTATGTATGGGAGTAATTTCAGAAGGACCAAAAAACATTTAAGTTACTTTTTACATTTTTTACAATTACATTTTTTGAGAGAATTAAATATCATAATTGAATTTAAAAAATGTGTTTGCTTTGGTTTGTTTTCAAACTGATCTAGCAATGCAATACTCACTCAGCTTTGTCAAAGTATTTCCCGGTGTATGCCATCCCAGCTGCACAGCTCAAGCCTTGTCCCAGAGAACCAGTGGCCACGTCAACAAAATTCAGCCTCTGTGATCAAATAAAAAAAGTTTAACCATTTTGAATATGAACTGCAAATTGCTGTCACCATTGCATGCAAAAAGTAACTCTATTTCAGACATGAGAAAAAAATACATTTATATTATCTTATATGCCAGTGTAAGGCGCTGAAAACATGTTACAATGAAGTCCTCTCTATTTCCTTAACCACCCTCTCTGAGTATGACTACTAAAAGGAGTAGGTTGTGTATGTACAGATACCTAAAGCAGAAGGCTGTACTTAAGGTTTGCCTTAGGCAGTACTTAAGAAGTGCCTTAGGCTGTATATACATGTAAGGAGTAGGTTGTGCATAGGAGTAGGTTGTACTTAAGGAGTAGGTTGACTTAAGGAGTAGATTGAAATTAAAGAGTAGGCTGTTCTTAGGGAGAAGGTTGTACTTAAGCAGGTTGTTCTAATATGATTAGGTTGTACTTACAGGAGTAGGATGTCCTTCAAGGTCAGATTCAATTTTACGGAGCTTCAAAAGCTCTGATGTTGGAAAGAGACCTGCCTCTGCCCAGGCAGCATACAGGATCGGGGCAGCATGTCCCTGACAAACAAATGAAAAGAAACACCATTAAAAACTTCAATCTAGTAAGCAGCATTCTTCTCTACATGCTTCCTAAAATCTAACAAGCACCATTCTGTCAATTCCTGTCGCTTCTCTCTCAACTCTCCCTACATGTTCATGAGGTTAAGCTTAGATTTTTGTTCCTTATGATTTTTTGAAATAACAAAATAAGCAAATCATTGTTCTTGGTAAAGTTTATTAGCTAATTGATTTCAAAATTCATAGTTTATACAAATTCCTTGCACTGATATGGTCCCGCTAATCAGTAACTAGGTTTTAATTGCCAATAATTACTAGTAATTGGACATATGACTGTTTAAAGTAGCAGTAAAAGACAATTTCTTTAGTATTCTATTTATGATTTACACACTATAGTAAAACACTCTTACAGCAAAGTGCCAGGGACCAACGATTTTGATTCATCATAGACATAATTTGTAATATCCATTCAGTTCAAAACACATTTCGAATTCTACGGAGAGTGAAAATCACTCTGTTGCATTGTAAATGTAAATTCATTATAGCTATAACTGTATTACTTATGAAATGAAATGTTAAGAATAAGTTATCAGTACCTTTGAGAGGACAAATCTGTCATTGTTAGCTCCCCTTGGTTCTGATATGGAGTACTTCATGGTGTTGAAGAACAGGACAGACATTATTTCCGCAATAGAACAGCATGATGTTGGATGTCTGAAAGTATTTTCAAAAAGTCTTGGTCTGAAAACTTTTCACTTGAAAGTGGGATATCTTTAAAGCAGATCAATTTGTCTTGTTATCATTAAACAGCAAACCTTTAATGTACCCAACAGAAAATCAAGGCAATGAAACCACATTTGAGTATGATTCAAGTTTTTCAGCAGGACCAAATTTATATGCTGGGTAGGCAAAAAGCCTCTAAGTATCAACATTTCTTATCGAATGTGTAATTGATATATGAATGTGTAACAGCTTCTTTAAGTTTTATTTTCTCACATGAGTTAACATCTTTTCTACGGTACTTGGGATGCACAGGCAAAACAATCAACACTGATCAAAAACGACAGTCAATTTAACTTCTGAAGCTTCCTTGTGATATCATCAACAGATCAAGGAAGAAAATTATAAGGTAAACATCAGCACAAGAATAGGAAGATCTCTCAAGTAGGTGTCAAGCTTCCTTCTCTGTATCACAGCTTAAAAGGCTATGTAATCTTATTTTACAAATCTGACAAACAAAAAATTATGAAGATTTTTTTTTCTCTCTACAAGTCTATGGTTTGAATGTCATATTGACAAAGAGTACCAGACAGACTATACCAATAGCCTTGGGTATGAATGTCTCAATGACAAGAAAATAAAAGCTAACAGATCATGGCTGCACCAATTGCTTATGTTTCAACAAATAGCATATTATCAAGGAGTCTGAACAGTCTGTTCCATGAGCTAATTGCAAATATCTCTGTATAGCACACGTCCAGATATGTTACATCTTTTAAGACAAATTTATAACATGGACATAGTCCACTTTTCCTGCGTTTAAATCACCCTTCCAAGCTGTCCATGTTTCTCTTCAATGCAGTTACAGTTGTAAATATAATTTGACAGGGCCTATAAAATGTTTTGGTAATGTGATTTATTATAGGGATAAATCTTAATGAAACAGTCTCTCTCAGAAATCAATGCTATGTTATGAATGTCATTTAATACATTAATCCTAAATCATTCAGGTCTCACCTTCGTTAATGGACAGCATCTTAATAAATCAGGGCCAATTGAATACAATCCTTAAAATTTTGACAAAGAACCACAAAAAAAATCTTCTAGTAAACAAAACTAACATTAATACCACATCTGATTTTGAGGTGTGACCACACTTTTCCTCAACATGAAATAAAATGTCTGACCATTTTTTATTCCAATATACTTTCAGCCACGAATTTCTACCGATACATACAGACAAACAGTCAATGTTCACTCACCCAGTACCAGCAGCAGTGGTAGATTCAATACTGTGAATTCTCAGCTTATTAGCAATGTCTATCAGAACCTGTTTGGTCTGAGAATCAATAGTTCCAGCCATATTTCTCCACACAGAAAAGACAGCCAATAAAATATAAAACACAGTGAGCCTGGACCAGCGTAACCGTGCAAACAAGTCGGGAAGATGAACAACTCAGGATAAGGACTCAATCAGAGGAAATGTCAACACGATATGAACGAGTCAGCTTGTATGTAAATTGCTCAGGAAAAAAAACACCAGTCATGTCCCCATGAAAACCACATGGAAAGCAAATAGTATGAAGAAAAAATTCAATCTACTGGGATACAATGACGAGTTTTTTCACTGCTTTATTAAATATCAAATTCTAAGTTTCGGGTACACATTGGGTGTAAATAAAATTAAAACTGACAATATCAGTGGGGATGTTAATTTCAGGAAATGATTCAGAATAAATTCAAGTAGGTAATGTCCATCTGTGAGATGAAGCAACAGTGAACTGATACTTGACAAAAATTGTGTAATATATCCTGTAAAGTAAGGCTTTGAATCATCCTGTCCTTTTTATTTTACAAAAAAGATTACAACCATTATACATACTGATATTTTATTTTACAATGTCTTTTAGTAGAACACATTCCCCAGCAGTTGTACAACTTTTAAGGGAAAAAAAGAGAGGCTTTGAATCAGTACTCAACATGGGACCAATTTACATCAACAACGTTCGACATAAGCTATAAATTAGGGGGAAAAAATTTTTTTTCTTCAGTTTATTACCAAGGTATGCTTGGTGTATATATTCAGCTAGCATATAGTTTCAACAAAACATACAACACAACAGAAGCTCAAATTACAGTCAATAACACAATTTAACAGCAGTTTCATTAATTTTTTTGTCTGTTTCATGGATTTTTTCCCACTATACATTTACAATGGATATACATAATCTAGTTAAAATAAATTAAGCTTTCCTTGTCATAGCCTTCTGTTGAACCTCATGATAAGCGTTCATTTGCTTTTCGAATGAGACCATAAAACAGAGGTCCTGCATTTCAGTAGATGCTGGTATGGAAAAAATCCCTCACTGCTCAATGGCCATATTCATAAGTGCAAAGACAGGTGAAAATTTGCAGCCTTACACGTAACTGGTGGCATCCCAACATGAGTGAAAAATTCTCAAAGGGACATGGAGCAAAAAGAAACAACCCATCATTTTGCTTTATATGCCTTACAGAAGAATATAAAAGTTACTATAAGAAAATAAACACAAGAATTGGAAGGCCCATGTGATACAATGCTCACCTGAGTAAAATAGCTCCTCTATTTTGGCAAAACCCTTGCCCCAGAGGCCATGATTTGTATAAAATTAAATTTACACTCATTAAAGAAGCTTTCACATAATTTTTTTTTTCTGGCCAAGTGGTTTTTAAGAATCAGATTCTTAAATACTCTCCTCCCATATTCAATGTTTCTGATTAATCTCCTCTTAAAAGGGACAAGACGCTTTGAATGAAGAAACTTGAATCCCTTCCAAGAAATGCTTTGTGGCAAGTTTGGATGAAATTCGCCCAGTGGTTCTTGAGAAGGAATTGAAAATGTAAAACATTTACAACATATGACGAACAAATGATAAATTTTTAACAGAAAAGCACACTTTAACTTTCAGCTTAGGTAATTTAAAAATTGCTTCAGTGATCCAGGATAAAATAGGTCTGAGGTGCTATGGGCAAAGGAGAAATACACATATGAGCAAGAAGAGTGGAAGGTAGAGACAGGAGACAAGAAATAGGGAAATGGAAGGGGTTTGAAATGAGGTAGAAATGGGAACACCCTTTATACACCCACAAATATTTCTTCTTATAGAACATACAAGTTAAGATTGCATGTCAGATGAGGCATTGAATGTAGATCTCCAACAAGAAATTGGATATCCAATACCTTTGTTGTTACATTTTAATACACCCTATACATGCACAGCAACACTTTGTGTACTCAGATCAAGTGAAAATTATACTTCTGAGATTCAGAGAATAAGCATTTAAATTAAAAATATTTGACGTGTCAACATTTTATCTGGTGATATTTTTTTACACAATTAGTTTAAATGAGATCTATTGAACTAGTAGTTTATAAAGGGATTATATTTTCTCTCCTAACACAGCAATAAACTGATACATTAAGTCATTTTCCAGTAAATGTATTATTGAAACATCTCAAATGGGTTTCATCCAATTTCAAACAGTTTTACATTTAATTTTAGACTAAAAGGGACTACGGTAAATGAGTCTTAATTAACATCTATTTTAAACTTGAGAATATTAATGTAAAAAAATATATATATCTGAATATGAAATTATAATGAAGACATTTAGTGTAATTGGGACCATAGACTCATTTTGATATATCTGTCATACTGACACTATAATTCAACATATCAGCACTTGAGATACTGAAGATCAGTAAGTTCACGACTTGGAAAATACACTCAGGCCTATCTCTCCTACTTAATCTATGAAAATCAAGTTCCAGCAGTGAGTATTTTCAAAAAGTTGTTTTAAAGACAAATATGGCCTATCTTAGTTAAAACCAAATAATACAAATTTGAGTGCAGATATCAGTTATTTAAAATTAAATTGTTCACCCACTCTGAACTCGGATAACCTAACACAGGGCTTTCAAAAATTATAGATAAGAAAAAAAATAAGAACAAATTGTGAAAGTGATTTTCATTAAATGTTATCGAATTTTTCTCCATCAAAGATTTTGGCCAGTACAATCATGATTTCAGCCAGGTAAAAGTACCAGGTATTGGCAGGTTTTGAAAGGCCTGCAGTAATATTTCTTCAAACTTTTCTGTAATTGTGTTGATAATATAAAATAATAAGATCTGCCAAATGTCTAGTCAATTTACTAACTGAAAATTCAGTAGTTTATAAACTACATTTTAATTTCTTCTTTTTTTTTCTTTTCACCTCACTACTATCATTTTTCCTTTTCTATAAAATCTAAATATAATAAACCGATTTTTTTTTTTAATACAACATAAATTTATATCTTCATCAAGTTCATGGAGAATGCAAGCAAGTCATGTAACACACATAAATATTTTCGCATAAAACACAAAGTAAACAAAATCTTATACAATGAATTTTTAACTTTTAATTTTTTCAATGATAACCGATTGACTTTTCTTAAAGCATGCGTTTTTCTTACCCCGAGTTGCTTGCGTCTGTCATCTGAATGCTGTGAATTCGCAGCTTGTTGGAAATGTCTTTCAGATTCTGCAAGGTTTTTGCATCTGGTCTGTGGTACTCACTCATGTTGATTTATTTATAGCAATATGCTTTAATGACAAGTAAGAATAAACACAAAATTTCGACAACGCCAGCGATTCGACCGGTAAATCTCACGCTCGTCCTAGCTACCGGAAGAGCAAATAGACCGAATCTAAGAAAAAATACCGATCCCGATGCCTTTACAAGCACCTGACAGTGAATGAATGGTACCTAGAGAGTGGCATTCTTTTTTTTTTTAATATATATTAAGTCGTTGTTCTCATTTGTATATTATATAGCTAACTGCAATAATGTAGCCCTCTCCGATTTTTTTTTCTCCTGAAAATATCAGATTAAAAAAAATCGGAGAGGGCTACATTATTGCAGCTAATTATATAGCATGCCTGTGTGCCAAAGATTTTTGGCGAATGAATAAATGAATTATTTGAAAATTATTTTTTATTGTAATTCAGAAGCTAGGCTTTGTTGTTTAAAAAAACAAAACAAAACAAAACTTTTATTTTATTGTATAGAAGATGCAAACGGAAAAGCACTCGAGGAGAGGGGGGGAGGGAGGAGATCCGGACCTCTCTCCTGGAATTTTCATAGTTATTAAAAGTCTACATAAAAGTAACAAAAAAATACCCCCCTATAGAAAGCACGATCCTACCCCCCCCCCCCCCCCGTAGAAATCCTTGATCCTAGCTCTCCTGGAACGACAACTCTGGACAGGAGATTGGGAGTAAAGAAGTCATCATCCAACCTCGCAATCTCAGTCGACTCTGTTAGCAGATCGAAGATATCTAAATAGAGACCGTGGAGTCATTTCAATAAATATGTTATTCTTGCAAAATATTTATTGAAAATGAAAAAAAATTGTACTTTATATTGTCCTAGCTACGATCAATATAGATTACAATATTGCGATATATTTAATGCTTAATGTAACATGAAGGAAACCTTATTATTGATATTATCAACCCTCAAAGTGTTAAAATTGCTAGAAAAGTACTGTATGCGGCCAACTTTAAAATAATGTTTGTTTGCCTTCTCCCGACTCAGGATCAAAACTTTGGGAAAGTAGATATAGGTGAGAAAATTATTTTTCTCAGAAAATTTCAATTTCAATGCTAAATTTTTGAAATATATTTTCCGGAATACCTAAAAAAATTAATTGCTTCCTGGAGGTTAAAAAAGTTTTGAGTCGGGCAATTTTTAGCCATTCGGTAGGGAGAGGGCAACCAAACAATATTAAAGATGGCCTGAAGAGCTTTGATATTAGAAAGGAAAGACTGCAACATAACTGAAATGCACACTTAATTATGATTGCAATAAGTGCATGTTAGTTAATTGAATATTTTGATGTATATTAATTCATTATTGTTTGTTGTATTCATGACTATATGGCAATGTATGATGGTGTTGTCATTGAATGAAATGAATAAATGAAATTGATATATACCTTGCTGACAACGGATGTAATTTGTCTTATTCTGGAGTAAATGTATAAATTGCAATTGAAAATGTTGGATCCCCCACCCAACCATTTTTTCCTCTTCTAAAACTGTATACAACTCACAGGATTAGGTTGGATTGAATTTTTCGAAAGTTTGCATCAAAACAATATAAAAAATTCGATCAGTTGTATCTATGATGAATCTCGTTATTTTAAAAATGCTGAAACACGTACAAATGAATTCAACGGATAAAGAAAGATAATTCGAGAATATTTCCAAGCCCCCTCCCCCCCTTTTCCTGTTAGTCTCTTGCGGCATAAAAGACGATGTTAATTTGTTGTCAAGTAAGACTTTTCCAGCTACAAATTAAACTTTTAAAAAATAAACTTTCAACTTATTTGTCCGCCTCTCCCCATATGAACCCAAACCTTGATAAAGAGCAAATTAAGTTGACCCCAAACTTGAATAGGGACAAATGTGGACACAA